TTGTATTCAGCCCTGATTAAAATTGCGGGCCCAAATCCTGGATGGGTGAACAACAAACACCAGTGTGATTTTGGTGACAGTACGACTATCTTGGACAAAGTTACGGTGGGGGTGCCAAACCAGGCAGCTGCACCATCTGTTCTGCTGAACATGAGCTGTAGAGAAACCGTGCAGATCTTCCCTATTGACACCAGGATTAACCTGAGAGGCACAGATACAATAACAATAATACATTTTATTTGAGGGCACCTTTCAAAACATTCAATGTCACCTTACAATACACAAATATATAAAATACGAGTGGCATTACAATACAAAAATGTGTTGCATAGAAAACCACAGAGGAACATTACATTCTGAGGAGCATTTTGAAGTGAGTAAAGCCAGTTTTGAACAAATTATTCGTTAGGCTTGATTTGAAATAACACAGTGTCTGACTATATCATATATGTGATATCATTATTTGTCATTTTTTACGTATTTTGTATTCTTGGTTATCAAGTATCAGACACTTAAACAACAGAGAATATTTATTACAATACGAAAATTGTCAGAAAAATGTTACAGAGTAAATCATTTATTTCCTTCTTCAGCTTAGAGAACTAGACAAAATGTCAAATAATTTAAATGACGTCAGCCCCGCGAACACGACTTCAATCCACGGCACAAAACCGGAACAGCGGACGAGGAGTGATTGAGATATCTAGAGATCTGAGTCCAGTGGGCTGCTTGTGTTTCTGTTCATCAGGACATCATGTGACCAGCAGATCCTGTGTGAACGCTCTACGTTAGTCAGTGGACGTACGACAACATGCACAATAACTTATATTGGAGCTATAGGCTATACTTTGGCTTAAATTGCGTGAATAAAATAGCTAGACAGCGATCTTTAATTTCATTCATCCAATGTCAGACCTTTTAACGAAAGTTTCAATGCTTTTCTTTCATTATAATTTGAATAAAAGGTTGAAGAGATAACATTGTATTGTTTTCTTTTTTTACTGACACAGATGTAATGAAAAGATTATCAGTCCAAGCTTAGCTTTCGTAAGGGAGATACAGGACAGGCCGAGAGAAAGAGAGAAAGTGCAGGGACAGCCTTCTGAGCCCAGGGTTACATTTACATTCTGACCATGTGCTGTTCAACACAAACTTAATAACTCCATCCATCTATCTGCAAAGTGAAATTAACTAAATTACTGAATTATTTGTAATACACTGGCAGGAGCGACAAGTGAGGGTGAGCATACAGTTAACCATGAGGGATGAGTAGAGGACAGAGAGATTACTTTTCCAATGTTTCGTGAGCATGTCTTCTGCATGTCCAGATTATAATGTGGATCATTATTGGTAACAATCAACTGATTCTCATGCATTACACTTTCAAATCTAATGTATGCTTCCCCCCCCCCGCAGGACTTCAAAACAGATATCTAGATCATGAAAATCGCCCCCGAGCTCCCCTAGCATGTTTTGGACCTCGGTATTTACAAAATCCTGGGTACGGGCCTAATGCGTTACTATACAAAATGGTACAGTACGATATGATATGATATGTTTTATACTGATGGTGGCAGTGACACAGCATGTACATTACTATACAAAACCATACGATTCAATACCATATGATTCGTATTGGGTATGGCAGTAGTGCCTGGTCCCGATTGGAAATGTGTGTACATACTTTATAACACTTGTAATCCAAATACTTGTTAGTCTTTGCCACACAGACAAAGGGTCCAAACACAAAACAAAGATTCAGTAAAGTAATCTTTTGGACATGTATTTCAAAAACCCTTTCCTAAATTCAGGCAAAAAGATCAAATCTGTGGAAAAACCATCAGAAACGACGTTCTATTGAACACTAATGAACACTTAGCTCCTGATTTAAAGCCCACTACTATCTGGACCCCTTCAGTTTTTAGTTGAAAAGCACTTCCCTCCAGACTGAACTGCTGATATCTTGTGTGCTCGGCACCATCCTCCATCTGCCAATTCCTCTGAATGTTGGCGTGTCAGTGTGACTGCCAGTAATACATCTGTCAGAGAGCTTCTCACAATTACCAGCCTCTCTGTCAGATGTCTCTTTGGGACACTTTGGGTGTGTCAGGCAGGAAGCTGAGGATTTTGGCAGCCGGTGAAATGTCTTCTTCTTCTTAAACACTAGCCAGGGAGAGTAAGTGAGGTGAGACAGAGGGATTATATACATGACTAAGCACAAACTTTAAAGAGGGAATCTAGCCATATTTTACGTA